AGATGACCTGTGCTGTCTAACTTATTTCTCCTCACAGACGGGAAGTACCGGGCTCTGCGGATGGAGTTCTCCCTGCCTCCCTCAACTTATGCTACCATGGCGATCAGGGAGGTCCTCAAGTTGGACACCAGCATCAAGAAACAGACGCAGCTCAACACCGTTTGGTTCAACTGAGATCAGATGGCTTGTCCTCGAACTGGGCTGCTGCAAGCACAGATCTACGTAATGAGTTATTTTAGAGTTCGATGTGTGGAGAGAATCCGAAAGAGCAACATCTCTGTTCTCTGTGAACATGTTTGTTGCCTATGGTGTGTAAAAGGATGGAGAGCAAAACAACAATATTCAATTTTATGATTTTATTGTATATTGTCAGTGATAATGTAAGTAAAGAGCTTCGCATTCTGGGTACTTATCACTCTGATGCTAGTTTGTACAGATTATTATTTTTTTTTTACTTCTGGCTGTAAATAGGAGTAAACTTAAAGTGACTAACATCTGAGTCTGATTTCATTTATTAAAAGCATTTAAAGCTATGGTTTAGTAGGTAGTGAAAAATTAGGTGGAAACGCCCTTTAGCCATTTCCTGCAAGACCATATGGTATTCTGCACCACAAGCCGCTTTTCAAAATGAAATCTACATTGTACATACAAACAGAGAGAAAACTATTCTTGTATTCTAGATATGGCCACTAATAACATCGAATAATTGTTTTTCTGAATTTGGGTTGTTCTTATTTAATGTTTTATACACTAATAATTAGATTAAAAAAACAGAATAATGAGATAAAGGTAAAAATTAAGACAAAATATGGACATTTAATTTCAGATTAGCGTTTATTTAAATCACCGTGTGACATCAGGAGTCAGAATCTGAATGTAATCAAATCTTGCCGACTCCCTCAAACTCTGAACAATCCCTTTTATAACCCAAGCAAAATTCTTGACCTGGCCAAGTGAAACAACTTTATGTGACTTAGCTTCTGTGCACATGTATAGAAAATGTAAAACATTGGTCTAATCTGTTCTGACTGGACAAAAGGACTTCACAGGCTGGTATCACTCCAGTTACGGCCATAAAACGGATAATGCGAGTACAACCAAGTAAGTTGTGAATTTGTGTATAACCAAAGCCTGGTAATGCTTCACAAAAGAAACAGCTAAAATGTACAGAGCTGAGTGACACTTGTGGCTGAGATTGCTGAGTATTCAGTGAAATAAGAAGCTGCTACAGAAAACAATTATAGTCAAGGTGCTAACAGGAATTAAAACTACATTGTGTAGCCATAGTAAAACTAAGAATTCCTCTACTTTCCCTTTCTCAGGCCAGTGGGCTATTAGCAGTACTGGGAGGCACACAGTTGTCGTAGAAGATCTGGAAGGAGCTGCTGACATATGTCACCCTCTTCAGAAAGTCCTCCAGCTGTTGTACCGTCATCTCTTGCACCTTGTTGTTCTCCTTGTCGTTGAGCCCATAAGCAGCAAACGCAGGGAACTTTGAGCGCTCCGAGTAGGGAGCATTGTGATCAAACTCAACGCAGCAGTAGGCCGACCAGAGGTAGGTAGGGATGCCCACGCGGTTGATGTTATGGCGGCGAATGGTGTGGCCTGAGGTGGTGATCCCTGTGACCACATAGGCAGTTCCACGGCAGTAGTTGTTCAGCCTCTTGCGCATGGTGTGTTCATGCATTTTCCAAGGACCGATGTTGAACTCTCTGACCCTGGGAACCACGTTGGTCAGAGTGTAGGTGGCTGCTTTATCTTCTGGGTCGGCCTGATGCTCGTCTGGATTCAGCTGGCCTCGTTCAAAGATCACGGTGTCGGAGTAGTCGTCGAGCACAGCCTGGGAATCCTCAAAACTCTTGTGAATATTTGCAGAGGGGAACGGCTCCATCTCTCTGGATCCAGAGACCAAAGAAAGCTGTGTGGATAAACAGTGTCAGAGTAACAAAACAAAACTATTTAACTCAAATTCATCTTTAGTCAACAACCATTCTTACCTGTGGCTCATACATCCAGGGTATATCGACCTTTTTGTAACCATCCGAGCGCTTGAACGTGTACGCAGAGTAAACGGGGATGTGGCTGAAGGAGTCATAGAGGGTGAAGAACCGCGGCTTGCCTGCATAGTACTGGCAAATCTTTTTCAAAGGTTGCTCCTCAAGCCCTCGGGGTATAGTCCCCATGTACAAGAACTGCTTACACTCCGGTGAGATGTTGTCCTGGACTTCTGCTCCTGCCATTACAACAATTAGAAAATACAAGAGTTTCCCTTCAGTTCTGAAGACGGACATGATGACACCTACAGAATATAGTCTCTGGAGTGCATTTAATCTCTTTTAGTTGCTCTCTCACTCCTCAGCTTACTCCATACCTCATACCATTTCAGGTATGCAAATCCTTATCTCATTCCCCTTGCACACACCCAAAAACCCTCTCACTGTTTTAACAGCCACGTCTGCAGCACAGGTAGGCCTAAAAAAGCATCTCTTTTTTATATTCATTAAAGCAACTAAAAGAATAGAGGTAAATAGTCAATCCGGATGAAACTCGTTTAAAACTCTTCCTATATGCTTATCTTAATATGTCAGGCGATAATTACACATATATGTCATATAATTACGCTACATATCTATCCTCTCATATGTACTTCTCCTTGCAGGTTGGCCAGGAGCTGGTGCCTATGGTCATTGGGTAAAACCTGGACAGGTCGTCAGTCCATCACAGAGACACACACAGGACAAACAAACCATGCACACACTCACATCTGGGCAATTTAGAGAGACCAGTTAGCCTAGCAATCATGTTTTTGAATCTGGAGTACCCGGAGGGAACCCATGCTCATGTTCAGTATCACATAGGTAGGGCTGCTGCACATATATATGTATGATGATGTATACTATTTATTAGCACAATTGTTTGTTATTGAATTAGTGAAAAACACAGTGTTTCGCAATATCTATTAGTGAATATCTTCCGTCAGTATTTGAAAGTATAAAACGGAGACTAAATCTGTGTCCCTTTGTATTCCTAAAAGATAACATCATAGCAATTACCAAATGCCACTGGTTATTAAAACGTGTCTATGGTGTGCTTCTCTTTGTTTTTAGTTGCTGGATCTTCAGTTAGCTCCCAGTTAGAAATGAAAGAACAATGCCCTTAAAGTTGCTGCTGTAACAGGGGAAACCTGAGCTGATAGAATGTAATGAATACAAGCATAAACTTTTTATTTTCACATCAGTTTGCTTCTCACTGAACCAATCGAGAACATACAGCTAAACCATATATATTCCTCCACATGTTTCTTAGTGTTTGCATGGATAAAATGTAAACATCAACATAATCTTGTGTTTGAACAGATAGCATAACTACAATTAGCGAAACTTGCTGGGTTTTCAGCTTGACACTATGATGTGCTCTAGTAAGTTGCATTTTACTAGTGGCAATAAATCTGAATCCAATATGGCTGCTGCTCTTGTAAAACGCAGTGCTCTTATGACTCCTGCAGGACTCTTGTTTCACATCCTCTAACATCCTGCACAGCTTTCTTCCCTAGCAAATGTTTGTGTTGACTCTCCCTCCACCTCCTCCTTTGTAACTAAAATCTGTGTGTTTTTTATGCCGGAGAAAAGACTGGGGAATGTTTCTCAGAAACATCTGTTCCCATAACAAAAGGCCGATGGCAGCACGACCTCTGTGGAAACAAACGCTTCCTGTTTACCACCCAAAGTTCTTCACCTTTTACGATGTAACTCCATATTGACCTAACCGTGCCCTCTTACCTATTAAAAACTCCAGCTGCAGATTTCTAGTTTGAGACTAAACCTCTAGTGAAAACAGAAGTTACAACAACTATAGCATATTTTTAGATTTTGTTCAGAGTCATCTCTAAGGGTCAGGCCAATTGGTATGCCTACCTCCAACTATACAATAGATGATTAACAATTTAATTGTTGCATTTTCTGTCTTGTGTCAACAATAAAAAAAATAATTAATGTTGTTTCTTTAATGCTTAATATTCTGCTGAAATACATATTTGAATGTGAACTATTTATTGATAGTCTTACTTCAATATTTATTTGAGTTTTCCTTAAATGGTGACTTGATATCAGCCATACTAGGATATTTGCCTCTACTTTCAGATTGTAATATCACTCCCCATATGAAAATGAGTAAAAACACTTTTGGAGAGTAAAGCAGATCATGTGCAAATAAAAAAAAAATTCAAATTGAAAGATTCCAATTTTCCTTCTTTATGAAGAAAACATTGTTTTCCCATGGCTAACATTCCTAATATATCCTCAGTGAAATCATTATCATTCCAACATTAAATATTCTAGTTGATGAATTACATTTTGCCCTCTCAACTGCAGTTGTGCAGCACACACACATTTTTCTTTTTTGCCACCTCTGCTCTGAGACAAGCAATTGTTGTCATTTTTATGGTGGGTAAACTGTGGCGAGTCAATTTAGGCAATGAATTCAAATTGTAGATTCAATCGTTTCCAAAAAACATTTCATTTGTCACGTTGGAATCAATTGTTGACTGGTCGTTCCTGTGTATCGACCAGTTTCAGGTCACTGCTTTTCTGCTGATCAGTTGTGATGGGACTCTGAACGTCTGTGAAATCATTTTCTCGTTGCTGGTTGTTGCATTTGGTTATGGTGTCCTCCGTCTGTTTAAACAAGTGTCACACTGAGGATAACAGGTGTTTGCAGATATTTCTGTACTGTGGATGCATTCCAATGCATATGTGTGTCTGTATTGAGAGACAGGAGACGCGGTTTATTTGCCTGTTTTGGCTGGGCCGTGTTTGATAAGGGAACGGGGCGCTGTTTCATGCCTTACAGGAGCTGTGCATGTTTATTTTGGGGGATGGATGTTTACTGGTCTTGTAGCACTCCTGGGGTGGTCCGCTTCGAGAATGTAAAAAAGAAAAAAGGAGGGCTTTGTGTATTTTTTCCTATTTCTGTCAATGGAGGATGCAGTGATATATATCCAGCCTGCTCTCTCCAGTTGGCACTCTGTAGCAGCAGACATCCACAGTTTCATGGCCCGATAGAGAGAGAGTCGACTGAATTACGAGGTTTTTGTTTCTCTCTACAATGGTAGTCATATTTTTAGCATCAACACAAGGACATTACCCAAACTAATTAAGGTAAGAGAGTTTTAGAATTCATCCCAAGTTTAAGATTTTTTTCTCAAGTTGAAATATTGAAATATTCACTCCTGTTTTTCTCGATATGATAGAAGGAAAAGGAAAGATGTTTTTTCAAATATTTTTTGAGAAATAAAAAAATTTAATATTTGATCTAAGCTATTATATTGTAACTGACTAAATATGAACCCTTTGCATGCATGAATCATGATCCTTTGTGTCAGGATTTTTTTCAACTTTTTAAAAAATTTCTTAAGGAATAAAAAAAGGAATAAAATAATTTTTTTATAAAAAATCTTTTTATTTTTATTTTTTTCGGTGATCAATTGTAATTTTCTCTGTTTTCTCTGAATTTTCAGACAATCCAAGTCAACACCCAGAGGACAGAACAGGAAGCAGGAAAAGCATCCAGGCTCTAAATCTCAGCAGCCTTTATTCAACAGAGTTGAATTAAATTATGATGCCTGGATTTGTTTTATAGAAGGATGTCAGACTTCCCCACCTCCTCCACTCCCACCCAGACTCTGGATCACTGCGACTATGGCGACTGGTATCCGTCCTTCTCCATCATCCCGTCTGTCTATGTTCTGGCCTTCTTGGTGGGTTGCGTTGGTAACAGCTTGGTGCTCTGGGTGTACCTGGGTCGACCCAGCGGGATCAGGATAGGAGACAAACCGCAGTGCTGCTGCTTTTTCAGAGCCAATCGCCAACATCTGCCTTCGCCTTGTAAAAACGAACCATCAGGACGAAGCCACAGAGCGTCCTCTCATTCCTTCACCTCTTCCTCGTGTCCTCCCTCCGTCCCTCGGCCCTCTCACTCCCTCACAGATTCTCTGATAGCTAGTTTGGCATTAGCTGACCTTTGCTTCCTTGTAACTCTCCCTCTTTGGGCTACCTACACAGCAATGGGGTATCACTGGCCTTTTGGGCAACCCCTTTGCCAGATCAGCAGCTTCCTCACCGCTCTCAACATGTACGCCAGCATATTCAGTCTGAGCGTGCTCAGTGTGGAGCGGTACTGGGTCCTGACGGGTCGGCGGCACTCCGGCCACCATCCCTCGTCGAGGTGTCCCAGCAGGACGCTGTGGATACTCGTAGCGGTGTGGGTGGTAGCAGCGGTCCTGGCTCTTCCTGGTTTGCTGCTGCGTTCTGTCAGGGAAATGGAACTTGACCCCAAGTCTGCGGATGATCCTGGGTCTGTAGTCCTTTCCTGTCAGATGGATTACTCAATGCTGGTTGGGGCAGAGCTCGAAGAGGCTGAAAAAGACAGGGCAGAGGTGTGGTGGGCTGCCGTGTTGAGCTTAAAGTCAACCCTAATTGGCTTCCTGCTGCCGCTTGTCATCATGCTCGTCTGCTACTGCTCACTGGCTCAGCTGCTCAGCAGGCACTTTGGACGTGGGCCCCGTCCCGACCGCAGGCGCCAGCGCAGACTCCTCAGGGTCATTGTCACCTTAGTGATGGCCTTCTTCCTCTGCTGGATGCCACTCAACGTCAACAAAACTGTCTCCATCCTGCTGGAGTTGGGCTTCGTCCCATATTCATGCTCTCTAGACCAGGCTCTGCTGGCCGCTCATCCGTACGTCACCTGTTTGGCCTACCTCAACTCCTGCCTGAACCCCCTGCTCTACGCCGCATGCGACTCTTCATTTAGGGAACGATGCACAGCAGCTCTGCTCATGTGGTGCAGGATGTGCAGAAGAGAAGCAGAGAGAGATGGGAAGAAAGAAGAACAAGAGAAACAGCAGAGGAGCTCAACCTTTCCTTCAAGGACACAAGAGGAAGTAGAGGGAAGGACAGAAGACGAAGAGGAAGAGGACAGGTTATGAGAAGGATAAGGAATAATAAACTCTTTGTGTTCAATTCAAAAACAGAATAAAATTGAATATAAAAAATAAAAGAGAAACTGAATATTTGTAGCACATTGTTAGGTTTAAAATTCCCAGCTGGCTGAGCATTTGCTCTGTCCAGCTAGTGTGAGACTTTTAGAGTTAACATCCAGAAATGGAAATGTTCAAACAGTATTTTCCCACGGGGTATAATGTAGATGTTTCCCACAAGAAGATGTTCATGCTTCCTAAATTATTTGATGCAGAAATAATCTGGGGTCAGATAAAAGCTTCTCATGATATATGATATGCGATGCATTCAGAATGTACTTTGTATTTGTTGGTTTTTGTTGCGCTGTTTTTACTGTTTATTTTCCTTATGACAACACTAAATAATAAAAGGTCACTTCAAATTGAAATTTCCTCTGTTGACTTATTTTTTTTTTACATGCGACACAAACAACATTAATAATAAGGAACATTTTTTGTTGAAAGCCTTTTGAATACAAAATCATTACAAACATTTTTTAAAAAATGGTACAATTAAGAAGAAAGAAACATTTAAAAAGAGATACCAGTAAAAAGTTGTAAAAACATACTAATGCCTCGTAAAATAATTGTTTACATCTTTTTTCCAAAAGAGGGCAAAAAAATTTCAGTTGTTGTGTCACAGTCATTGCTAATTAGTAGTAGTCTCTTCATGAAACTCATACAACAGCAGTGTCTTCAGTCAGAGGCGTCTTCTAGGTTCTCTGTGATAATGACTGCTACAGGAGAGCCTTCCTGCCCAGCCATCAGTATCTACAACAACTCTCTGAGGAATGACTCATTACATTCTGCTTCCCTTTGGCATTGATAAACTAAATTTGTATATTTGAATGTAATACAGAAGCATAAATAGAAGACACGCCACCGTGATGTCAGTGAGGACATGTCAGTCAGGAGAAATTCCGGACTCCGTCCAGCAGGTGGCGCTCATTCCCCGGTAGAACGCTGGCGCTTCTCAGATGAACTTTCTGTTTACGCGCTTCTTCCTCAGTGTCTTCAGAGATTCGCTCACGCTGGACGCAATTCAGCCCGTTTTGCGTGAAAGGTGTTCTTCATTCGTGCCGTAAGATGAAAAGTCAGGATAAAAGCTGAAGCACTGAGGAGCTTTTGTTGCTGTATTTCTCTCTACGCGTCCGGAAGTGTTGACAATGGGGACAGCTCTGATTTATGACGAGGAGATGACCAAATACAGCCTGCTCTGGGTGGAGTGAGTATCGCAAACACCATGTGACCTCTGACACATGATGTCAGAGGTCACCATGTCGGCTGTGTTTACATGTTATTCCTACAGTCACCTTCACTGATTATTTATGAATATGTTCAAGTGTTGCCACACAAGGCTGTTTCTAAGTTAAACATGTAACCAGTAATGTTAATTTAACTCATTTTGGAAAAATGTGCTTTTAATGTTCTTATTTTGCTTAAAGCCACTCCTGCCTTTTGCAGTTAATAAAGGTATTTTAAGAATTTAAAAAAGAAATGCTTGTTGAATTTCACAGAATGGTAATACAAATGTATTGAACGTGTTAGGTGTTTAAAAGTATAAATTTTAGTCAAAACATAAACTTAAATGATTTAACTCAAACCAAGACAGCAGCATTATTTCCAATCCTGCTGCAGAAATAATGTGATCCATTATTTTAGTTGCTTATATTATCGAGACTTTGGATTTAATATCGTGTTAGTGAATTAAGTGCGAATATAAAACAAACACTCAGTTAAACTCAGTTGTTTTGAAGTGTTTTTACTCTTCAAACTATCCCATTTTGTCACTTGTCTTTACGGAGCAACACACATTGAATTTTTATTACTCCGTATTACAATTATGATTTATAATTTGATGTTAGCTGTTTGATTGAAAAAACGTCCAAATAGAGAAATTAGACTTTTGCTAAGTGAAAAAACTATTGCAATTTTCTTTCAACCAGTCATCCAGTTGTTCCAAATAGCAACTTGTTTGTTTATTTAACTACAAACAAACAAACAAAAAAAAAACCCTGCTCACTTTAAAACATTCCTCTTTTTTATATTGATAACTGTGACTGGTGACATGATGTTGACGACTATATGACTGTGTCTTTGTTTCTGCAGCCCAGCATGTAAGATCGAGGTTCCCGAGCGGCTGTCGGTCAGTTATGAGGCCCTGGTCAGGACGGGTCTGTCTGACCGCTGTGTGTCTGTGCCGTCTCGCGAGGCCTCTGATGCAGAGATCCTGCTCGTCCACAGGTCGGTCCTGACTGCTGCTCTGCGCAGCGCCGGCCCCTTAACACTGGGCCCTTTAGCAGATATTTGATTCAGGGCCCACCTTCTCCTATTAGCACAGCCAGTCAAATCATTGTTTTAAATGTTCCCAGTTTGACTTTGTGACCATCTAACCTTGAAAGTGAACCTTGAAAGCCTCTGATTTTCAAGGTTCACTAGTTACAGGCATTCACGTGTGGAATAATTGTTGCGACGAGTGAAAGCCGTGTTTTTCACTTTTTAAGCAAAAACTAAATGTCTAAAAATCTTTTAAACAAATAAAATTAGGTTTTATTATGATTGTTTTCTTTTATGAGTTTGTCTCTACAAAATTCTCATCATGCTGCCGTGTACAGTGAGGAATATCTGGAGGGTGTGAAAAAGACTCCGCACATGACCTTGGAGGACTTGAAGGAGTTCACCCTGCAGTACGGGGACGTCTACTTCCACCCGGTTAGTCCCCTATTCATCAGCTGTGTATCACAGTTGTCCCTCTGTCACTCTCTGGTTGTGTTGCTGACTTTTTATCCCTATTTTCTTAATTGTTTACTGCTGTAGAACATCTATCACTGCGCCAAGCTGGCTGCAGGGTCTGCTCTGCAACTGGTGGACAGTGTCATGACAGGGAAGGTCAGGAATGGCATGGCTCTGGTTAGGTAAGGGTCGAAATGTGTAAATCATGTTTTGCATTGTTTATTTTATGTCCCTACTTTGTTGCAACAAGGCTTTTAACATGAACTGTATGATATAGGAGGAAAAATCAGAGTGGAAACAGCCCATTTTAGCTTGTGCTACGACTTGGAAGACATGTATGTGTTTCCTGATGTCGTTTCTAGACCGCCAGGACACCACAGCATGCGCAGCGCTGCCAGTGGTTTCTGTGTGTTCAACAACGTGGCCATAGCAGCGCGATATGCTAAGCAAAAACATGGAGCCAAAAGGTATTTCAGCCTTTTTAAAAAAAAAAAACAATCTTTCTCCCCGTTTGGTTTATTGTGCTGACGTCTGCTGGAATCAGGTTCACTTAAAGCAGCTTAAATGTTTCTTCTTCAGGGTGCTAATAGTAGACTGGGACATACATCACGGTCAAGGGGTGCAGTATTGCTTTGAAGACGATCCGAGGTGGGCCCTTTTGTCAAATAGCAACCTGTAAAAGTCTCAGGTTTTCAGTGTAACTTTGGTGTTTTATTCATTGAGGGTTTTATGGTGCTCTGCAGTGTCCTGTACTTTTCTTGGCACCGCTATGAGCATCAGGAATTCTGGCCCAATCTTAGAGAGTCAGACTACGATAGCGTCGGCAAAGAAAGCGGAGCTGGCTTCAACATAAACGTGCCTTGGAATAAGGTGAGTAGGTAGAAACATTGACTGGTGTATTGATTTTGCCAGTATTAGTACTGATTGGTTGGTTAAGGCGTGAGACCACACTCACTCATCTACTGTCACAAATGTGACCATGATGCATCACCAAAGGTCTGCTCATTCATAAACCCTGAAATGTTTATTGTATTTGCACTGATGAAAGATGAATTGTGGTACAATCAGAATATATGTACTGTTTTTGTTACTATTACAAATTTATTATGATATTTGTAATTTGGATTTTGTTATTTTGAAATAAGGGATAAATATTTGCTCACCAGAGTCATCATTCTGATATTTCAGGTGGGAATGGAAAACAGCGACTATCTGTCAGTCTTCTGCCATGTCCTCCTGCCAGTAGCTTATGAGGTGAGACATTTTTAGGACACATTTATTTAAGACTGAAGTGTCACCATGACTTGTTGCACTTTTGATTCTTCCTCACAGTTTTGCCCAGACTTGGTTTTGGTGTGCGCAGGCTTTGACTCGGCTATCGGCGACCCAGAGGTACCAAAAAAACGTATTCTTGTTGTGTAAAGTGAACTTATTTACACATTGCATGCATGCGTTCTCTCTTACATTTCTATCTTATGAATCCACAAAAAAAGTCTTTGAACTGGCATCAAGAAGATCCAAATTACTTGTTTGGTTGTGGTTTTTTTCCAGGGAGAGATGTGTGCCACTCCGGACATCTTCGCCCACTTAACTCACCTCCTAATGAACTTAGCTGGAGGGAAACTGTGTGCTGTACTGGAGGTATGATTAACAAGACTTAGCAGTTTTATTTGACTGTCTTTCCAAGTATTTTATGCATTTCCACATTGTCTTTTAGGGAGGATACAACTTGACTTCTCTCGCACAATCCGTGTGTCAGACTGTTCAGACTTTGCTCGGCGATCCGCTGCCTCGGCTCGCAAACCTCCGTGGTCCCTGCGAAAGGTCGGTCAAACGTAACCTGAGTGCTACAGAAAATGGTTTTTCTTCTACCTGGCAATTACGCTCTACTTTGTCCTGATCTTTCTCATCAAATGAAGACAATCGTCAAGTTTGTGGCTGCAACTTGACAGAGAAGTAGAAACTTAAGCTGTGTGAATCTTGAACTCGGTGGATTTATTGCTGTTTTTCTTCAGTGCGCTCGAGACACTTCAGTGTGTCCGATCGGTTCAGAGGCGGTACTGGCCCATCCTCAAGCATGCAGGTAGAACAGCCACGCAGCAATTGTTCAGAGTTTCTTTGTTATCCCAGCACCGCACAGAATATGCCTTGTTATTCAGTAGTTCACTGATAAAGTGGGATAATGTTATCTTGTACATGTTATAAGTGCAGACTACCGTTCTGTGTTCTTTGTGTTTATTATAATCGTTTTCTTACTGGACCACAACAACTCCTGCCATGAATTCATGGAAATAGAGAAAACTTTCATCTTTTTTAAGATGTAGAAATGTTCACTTTAGTTCCTTATTTCTGTCCTTCTTGTCTCGTGTGGTTTCTCGCTTCTCCAGCCGATCCACCGATGACAGACGTGAGCACCAAACGCATCAAACTGGCAAAAGCAGAGGAAGAAAAGGCAGAGACGGCAGAGGATGAAAGAAGTCAGGAGGAAAAAGTTTGGCCTGAGCCCGCAGAGCGCTTGCGTCCTCCCGTTTGTTCTGCGTCGGCGCTTCCTGACGACACAGATTGTCCAGATGGATTGAAATGCCTCACCTCCTCCAAAGACCTCAGACCACTTTTAGTCAGCAGAATAAAGTGAGAAGCATTCAGAGTCACATGCCTTGTTTTACGAGCGTTTTCGCCCTGCTCGCCAACTGAACCGTTTCCTTGTAGGAACCGTTCCACAGAAGATGCGGGTGATGCGGACGGTGTCGCCACCTTCTCGAGACTTTACACCCTGATTGAGAAAATGACAACAAACGAGGTAAAATCAAGACATCGTTTGGGTTCCTTCTCCCTCTGCAGGCTTGTTGTGTGTTGATTTTGTTTGAACGGTTCTCAGATCGGCAACAGCGTGGCGCTGGTCCCTGATGTCGCCGCAGCCGTGAAGTGTGTTGTCCAGGATCTCGGCTCTGACCTCGCCAAACGGTACAGAAGTCAAATCTTATGCAGACTGTGTTGCATGTTTAGGCAAAAAACACATAGAAGTGTTGAGCTTCACTTTTAAAGTAACCGATCAACTTTTAGAGGAATACACACTTTGACAACTCAAATTAAATGAGTAATAAATGCTTTCAGACGAGCCTGAATGGTTTCTACTCGTCTTCCTACAGGGTTTTAGTTGTTTGTATCGGCAAAGAGGAGCTGAATTACGCCACGACAGATGGGTAACAGTGATTTAAGCCCTACTGCACTTTTTACAGAAGCGTTACAGAAAAGATGTTCAGCAAGAATTGCAATTTTATTATGAAAAAAATCTCTGTTTTAAGGAAAATGCTTGTTGTACAAATCAGCGGTGATGACAGAGAGGAACAGAAGGGAAAATATTATATTCCAATGTGTTTAAAGAAGGTGAGATAACTTTAAAACACACACACAATACTGAAAACATCTCACAAACATGAAGTGCAGTTTTCTTGTCCTCTCAGGGTTGCGGTGACACGGTAGGATTCATCCAGGCGGTCCTTGGCCTCCTCCTACCTGTGGGATACGAGTACAACCCGGATCTGGTCCTTTTGATTCGCATGCCAGGAAGCGGAGTGAGCGACTGTATGTGGCAGCAACTAATCGCCCTGCTGCAAGTCTTTGCAAAGGGACACACTCTGGTTCTGATGCAGGTGAGACGACTGCAGCAAGTTTGAAGTCTAAGTCTTTATATACTTTATTTATTTTTTTGCCTTTAAGACGAATGATGGGGCATGCATGGGCCCTACTGCCTCCGCCCTCCTTGGGCACCCTGCGCCTCCTCTGCAGGAGCTTCTGACTCCGCTCCCAGACGATGGAGATGCTTTGGAGAGAATGAGAGAGAGGCTGCAGGCTGACTGGAAAATGCTGCAAACCACAGGTGGATGGACTTGCTGCAACCCTTCCATGTTGGGCAACATGGAACAAAACTCAAAATTACAAGATGTATACTGACGAAAGCTTATCTGTTTGTGTGTCTCAAGTATCTACAGGCAATGGAGAGACTGCTAAAAGCTGAAGCTGTCCTGCTGCTGTTTATCTTTGTGGAGCTGATGGACGATTTGACATATTTGACATTCCGCAGCGAGTAAACCTCACACTCTGTTCATTTTTATATGCAAACTGCTGTTTTATACTCTAAATTATGTTCCAGTCAATGATTCTCTAGGTTTAATACATTCTTAAATGTATTTGTACTAGCCAGTCTAATGCTTGAATTAGTGAAACTGTGTTTTTTTTATGGAATGCTCGGCGGCTAACGACGTATCTCTTGTGGCGTCTAAACGTCATTTCTGGGGCTCTTCTTGGACTGAACGTTCACCAGTTTATTACATTCCAACAAGACAAAACCCAACAACTCCAAAGAACACAGCAACAGTATTTATGTGGACTCTGCCACGACGGTCTTGTGCGAAATTCTGTTCCCTGTGAAAATCTGTTCCCCCTGTGTCAGGAGCGCACATTGCAGCCAGAGGCGGATCTGACCTAAACTATATGGTTCCCCCCTCGTAGCTCTGGCAAATAAAGAGCAAATGTTTACAAATTTGCGAGATTCTTTTGTTGATGAAGAGAGGAGCAAACATAGTTAAAGAGTTACGGATGTTATGGAGGGGGAACAGATCATTTCAGGTGGCTGAAATATTTGGTTCCCCTCTTTTAACTTTGGCAAATAATGATCAAATGTCACCAAATCCACAGGATTTGTTGTTGATGATTAGAGGAATAAGCACAGTTAAAGACTTGTTGGTAAATGAATTTGTTCCCATGTTATGAAGGCGGAACAGTTTTTTCAGGCAGCTGGAATATCCATTCTCTCCTCCCCCCATAACTTTGGGAAATAAAGAGCAGCTGTTTCCAAATTCTCAAAAAATACGTCTGATAGCATGTAGAAATTTCCGTAATCCATATTTTACATTAGAATGGGATTTTCCAGTCTACGCGGGTATTGGTGCCCTGCTATCAGCCAGCTTCCATCCTCTCATATCACCAATGAAAAATTATAAATACACATTACGTGTTGGAAACCTGTATTTGGTGACTGACTTATTTGTGGGGCTTAAGTGATATAGTAATACAGTGTTCAAGGGGGACATCTAGTGGTCAGAAAAATGAAGTAGAATTCAATTTGTTGGCAAAGATAGAGTCATTTATATATTTATGTAAATTATTGTCATTTTGGTCTTTAACATACCAAAATTTCTGCTTTGTATTTTGATCTGTCTGACTGTAATTTTTAAATATTGAATGATTGGTGTTTTGATCACTTACTTTCTACAGAATACTAATTTACTCTTTAGTAATTTCTTGGACTTGAGTAAAAGCCAAGTCCCAGTGTCTTCCAGTTCCAATTTTCATTCATCTGACGGTAAACAGACTGGATTAGATGGATGAAACCTGGACACGGTTGAATGTTCCAACAGGAAAATGATCTCAAACTGTTTCTTGTGATGGAAAAAACAGACTAACATGAAGGACTGATCCAGACCACAAGCCTGTCATAAAATTTGTGCTTAGCAGTATGTTTTCCAGGGAGCCAATTTAATTGCGCTTTGGTGTTTCTGATTGAAAGAACGGTCATAAATGCAGACATTTTTGAGGCCATAAGCTTGTTGGAAGCTGCAAAAAGTCTGTGGTAGATAAAAGCACAGTGTGCAAAAGGGACTTTTCACCAAACCTTGGTGGGGTGAATATATTTGAGACAATATGGAGCAGAAACAAAATGCACAAGATTTTCAAAATGGCGCTTCAAAGCCTTGTCTTTAAAATTCATTGAAGTTGGAGCTCACTGAAAAAAGGAAGAACATCCATTCAGATAAATTAGACCCTGTCTTTTTCCAGATTTAAAAAAATTGTTTGTTTGCTTTTATGATTTTAGAGTACAAAAATGTAGTGAATCTGCTTCAATTGAAGTTGGGCCTAAACTGTAGATTGCACAAATTATAGAAAAACACACACTGCTAAAAAAATGGCTTCCGAGATTCAGAGAGCAGTGTCAAATGGGGCCGTTTTACTGCTTTTGTGCCGTTTAGAGCAACTAACTCTTTAAACTGCACTTTTTGCATATTTGTACCTTTTTTTTAAATTTGCAAACAATTCCAACTTGCAGTTTTAGTGGAGCTATTAGGGCTAGTTAAACCTGAATTCAAAGGCTGTCTGTAGAAAACGGGTTGTGAAACTCCCCAAATTAGATTTATTTATTTTTTTTATATCAAAAGCATGCAATCAGTCGGTGAATCAAAAACAAAATGCGGAGGAGTGAAATGTTAAAACAGCAATAACAAAGAATGTTCACTAACAAATCAACAAGAAGACTTTTGCATGTTAGAAGATCAGTGAAAAAGAGAACGAAACCAAAACGTTTTCCAAACTCACTTTTCATTTTTCCATACTTCTCAATAAATTGCAACTTCTCTAGATTGTTTTTTTTGGTGTGTGTGCGTTTGTTCCTTATACCTTGTGGGGACCATTTTCCTGACACATACTACGTTTGTGGGGATCCACTGCTCCTTGTGGGGACTGAAGCCTTGCTGTGTCTGGGTCAGGGGTCAGATTTAGGACCAAGGTGAATTGAGTTTTGGTTAGGGTTAGGGTAAGGGTAAGATTTAGGCTGCAGAAATGAATGGAAGTCAATGGAAAGTCCCCGCAAAGATAGCCACGCAAACGCGCGCGCGCGCATGTGTGTGTGTGTGTAAAACCTAAACCTATAAAAACACACGTGAGCTAATTTTAACTAACCGACAACATGAACGACATCTGCAGGCCTGTGGGTGGCGCTGTGGGTTAGCCGCAGCTAATAGAGACTTTTTCCTCCCGTGTGAATCATCTGCGTTAAAAGCCAAACCACCGCGGCCGCCTCCTGACCACTGCGCCTGTGTGCGCGTGAGAGAGAGAGCGAATGAGACGGTGCGCGTGTTTGGGCTGTGATTGGACAATCTGAACGCACATCTGGGAGGAGTGAGCGGAGAAACAGAGAGAATAAGAGAGACGGGGGTTAAATAATAATAATAATAAGAAGAAAAAATAAAGGGTTGGCCCACAGAGAAGAGCCGCAACAAGAAGCATGTCTCTGACTCCGAGCGCATCTGCCAGCCTGCAGCCCGCAAAGATGAAAAAAGACGAATCCTTTCTGGGGAAATTAGGAGGAACCCTGGTCCGGAAGAAACGGGCTAAAGAAGGTGAGTCGGTTCAGAGTTTTTCCTGCTTTAAGGCGTTTTTTCTTCTTTTCTCTTTTTGTTGTAATAATAAGCCCTCTTGTGTTTCTGTCCATGGTGCTGCAGTCGCATGGTTTTACATGGCAGAGTAGGCACGGTGCTTAAAACGCGAACACAGACGGGTTTTGATGGCGGTGAAGCTGCTGAAAAGTGAACACTTACTTCTCCAGAGGGGAAACATGGAAGGCATCTATTTATATAAACAAAGACTTCATAGACAGCAACTCCTCTGGCATTCAACATGAGGTAAAGATGTATAAATAGCCCAGATCCTCTGTGAGCTCTTACAGGAAGGGTGTTAACTTGAAACAGTCTCTAGTTTCTATTATTCTGTGAGTTTAAGCAGCAGTTTTTATGTCCTTAAATCCACAGAGCGATTTGGTCAAAAGGACAGCTGCAAAGGTTTATCAGCCTCAGGCTGTTTGTGTGTGTGTGTGTGTGTGTGTGGGTGTGGGTGTGTGGGTGTTTTCTCACAGCCATGTGTTTGCAATTTCCATTAAAGCAGACCCACCGGCAGGAGGTCAGAGACATTTTAATTGTTTTAGGAGGAACCCTGGATTCCAGGCTTCACCTTTCTCTCATTTGAACTTCTCTTAAAACATATATTCCTACTGTTTTTTAAATACCTTTTCCAGAAAGGTTTTGATGTGAAGCTAAAAGATTTTTGAATTGGTTAAATTGTAAGATTTTCTTTCTAATTTTGAGATGGCAAAAGAAAGAAAAATGCTCCTGGTTGTTCTTCGCCTAAAATAAAATCACCGTTGCCTAAGCTCAGATAGTAGCTGATAGTTACAGCTCACATTATGATCATTTCTGACTTTTAAAAAAATGAAAATACATATTAATTTATGAAGAATTGTCCAATTGATATTAATAACTAAGAGGTGATCTCGCCTGTTCTAGGTAGATCCAGCCAGCGGTTTAATTATCTGAAACGGCAAATAACTTTAATGGATTTCAAAACAAAGACTTGTGTTTCAAAACCAGTTTTGATGCATGTTTGCGATAATTTTTCAACTTTAACGCCTCGCGAGTCATCGGCCAATGACATCAGTTTAACATCAACACAAACTTGGACCTTGTCACCCACTCAAGAAGAATGGGATTTCCAAATCTATGTATATTGTAATAGTTGTAGCTACAGCATCATGTTTATCTCTAGTGGTTCTGGTGATCAGAAAGGATCACTGTCTCAAAAGTCTCGAGCTTCACATTAGTTCAGTAGCTGTGGATTAATAAAACCCCAGTATGGATTCCAACAGGACAGTGATCATAAGCAGGTGTAAAAACTGAAGGGATAACTCGGGCTAATATTAAGCTTCTTTAAATGAATTTGACATTAAAGCTGTGGAAAATTTATACTGTGCTTAAAAGTCAAGTCACAGCCAAAAAAAACTTTCTTTTAAATAAATTCTTCCTTTTGTGACAAGGTCCAATATCCAACCTGGAGTATGCCAGAAGTAAGGAAATGTATCAGTGTCATACTTTAATCGCTTAACTTATTTCTTCTACAATAATTCCCCCCAAAAAAGCAATTCAAATTCATCAGTAAAAGTCAAAAATGAATGTGGACGATGAGTGTCTGCAGTCCTCTGCCCATCAGTGTAGATGTTTTCACCGTGAAAGCACCTGATGCGTTCTGCCAACCTCTTCTCTGATTTAAATCTGTTTCCAGTCTAAATTTGACCAACTTGTTGCGTGGGTACCACTGATGCTGACTGACGTTTACCTTCCTCTGATACTTCCTATCAGAAGTATCTTGCCACCACAAGCCAGATAAGTATCTGCTTTATGAAAGTAGAAGTGCTCACTTGGAAGATATCATGAATTATAGCTGATAAAATGCTCTGGTAAGAAAAGCTGTGAACATGTACAAGCTTAATGACGACTTTTTCTACAAATGTATTGAGAATCTCAAAGTTGGTTGTTTAAATCCTCTGCTTGTCGTGAAAATAACGGAGTGCAACTGAGCTCAGGTATTATTTCAAAGACGTAGAATAGTTGAAAAAGGAAATCCTGTGCATATATTTGAAACATGCAACTCTAAACTAAAGTATTAATTCAAATGATTAACAATTATTGATAAAATGTTGTGGAATAAATTAGGGCTGTTGTAAAAGAATGTTTTAGTAATCGAGTACTTTATAGAGTATTTTTACGATTATCCGAGGGATTGAATATCTCTCTCTCTGCTCCAAAATTGACATGATTCCAATGTCAGAAAATCTGTCGCAGTCCAACCATCGCACCACTTCTACAATCCTTATTCTTCCCCAAAACGCTGCACAATTCATGACCATGCTGCTAGCACTTCACAACAACTCATAGGTGGAAGTGAGAGCGCTGCCCTCCACAAATGATGATGCGGCTGGAACACGGTGCGCTGCATAATTGAACGAAGGTTCGAGGCAGATCAATTTTCCTCAAGGAATTTTAATAATCAAGGTGCTCGACTCATTCGAGGAATTATTTCAGCCCTAGAGTAAATAGTCCCATACTCTTAAAAATAGGTTGTAATTCAGTTTCAGTCATGTTTGCCGAAATAATCTACTATATAGTTCAAACAAAATAAAATTTTATTCCCTTTGTGCCTAATGTCGCTACTTCGCATCTTACACAAATGTACACTAATTTCAGGTTCAACAGTCCAATTAAGAATCTTTAGTCAACGCATGACCGTCAACAAAGACACAAGTAATGTTTTTATTTAAATAATTGAACATAAATCCAGGCAATATGCTATTTCATAATTTATGACATATAAATGGATCCTGTCATTATGTGCGTGAGACGGACTCACACAGAGCAGTTGAATAGAACATGTTTAAAGAGACGGGAGCGTCGTAGGTTTTGAAGGCAATGTTGCTGGCAGAAGACGACGTGTTGCCGTCCCGGGTGTGGTGTAAAGCCGACTCTCGGCAGATGAGTTGTACTGTTCGAAAAGTTTTCTCACTTTTGCTGAATAATCATTTACTAGTGACTACAACATGTGGTTCAGTGCCATGCACTTCTTTTACTGTGAAACAGGACGGTACATGTCACTATCTCAGGGACTTTCAGAGACGATGGCATACAACTCTGTGCGAAGCGATAAGGTGGAAGGAAGTCTGCGTTTCACCGACAAGAGTGGAATCAATTTGTGGGCAGACAGTTCAGTTCGCTGGAAAACGATGAGGCCGTTCTCGCATCCTGATTGTTTTGACAATGTGGTTACACCCTAAATATACAACGCACTGTAGAAATAACCAGACTGGAGGATGGATGGCAACAGCAGTGAGTCATTACGCTCTACATGTAACATGCTTCCTTATTTTAGTAAAACTTTGTATGCACTGTATGGCTGCTCTTGATTAACTTAACCTTTTACTTGAAAATTAAGTTTTGAACAGTACATAGCACTCTGTTTCATTGTTATGTGATTATTATGTTTTTTATTAAAGGAGGATTTTACTCAAGTTGTACCTAATTTCCACTGGATTTAGTTCAGTTTTATTTCCAAATTCTAGAGCTTGTATTGCAATATTCAGTGGCTTGCACAAATTTATTAGAACCACAAATTTGAATGTATATTTTTATGAGTTCATGTGGCCGATCAACACAGTTCATAGTCATGAATTTTTAAGGCTACAAATAAAAATCCATGAATAGTTTTATGCAGATTCAGCCCTCTTTAAGATAACAAAAAAATTACTTTATTAATCCTTTGGGACTTTCCCTCATCTACATTGGTACCCCTAAATAAAAACAAGTTACATAATTTTAAGTGTAATATCTGCATTCAGTATAAATTAAGATATTCTCTAAAATGTATTGAGGTTTGTTAGAGAACGTTATAGATCAGTGTCTTTAAACTGTTTTTGACCTAATTGTTACCTTAACACAACATGGTGGTGGCTGTATCATGCTGTGGTGATGTTTATTATCATGTCTTGCTACTCAGATTTTGCGTTGTTATGCAAAAATTGAAAACCATGACTTATACTTCCACTTCACACTTAACCTCTGCTTGTTGTCGACCCGTCAATCGAAAACCCGATGGGATATATTGTAGTTTGAAGCTGGAACATGATAGAATGTGGGAAAAAAAATCTGCAGGGAACTGTAATCACACCCAACAGCAGGACTTTGTTAAACTGAGCAAACCTATTATATTGTAGATTTAATTGAACTAGTTGTTACAAAACATAAACCTGCTATATTCAG